GCAACATGGTTGTAGTTCAGCTGTATGGGGCTGCATTTCACCCCGTATTGTNTGTGCCTTGAAAGCCAAGTGTAGTTTTGTACTCCGAGCTTGCATGTGGTTCTTGATTTTTGGGACTTGTTGATGTTGTTTTTTTACCCGTACAGCTTTTGTGTCCGAGTCGCTTTGCCCCAAGTATCTTCAGCTCATATATGGCAATACTCTTTTCTCTATGATTTTACACGGTCGGTACAATGATACAAGAAATCCTTGGGGATGATGCGCTGTCGGCCTAATAGCCAACTCTATCATGAGCGTCGCCACCACTCTTTTGCCAAACCCTCGATTGTTCCACTTTGCAAAACTTCCTCTCTCTTCTTTTTTTTTCTATGCCTTTTCAAAACCCCCTGGACAAAATAGAATCCACATGGCCCTCAGATCTGTCCATAAACCTCGCGTAATGCGCGTATACTCTCCCTGTTGTACAGTCGGCCACCCTCGAGAATCGCGTCTAGCGCCATAAAGTTGTGAGGCACGCCCTTGACCAGAATGACCTCGGCCTTGGACCCGGCGTCGTTCATCTTCTGAGCATAAACTCTGCCCTCATCCCTCAGAGGATCCATTTCTGCCGACAGGATCAGTGCCGGTGCCAAACCGGAAAAGTTGGGCGCCTTTATCGGTGATACTTTCCAACTCTGTCAGGAACGAAAAAGAGATCAGCCAAGCCATTCGATTCTGATAGCCAAAAGCATTGCGTAGACCAGGGACAGGACAGTAGATCCAAGAAGAGGGTTTGTACCAATAAAGGGGGGAAATGACAGAATGCAAGGGGAATACAAAGGAAATCTTCTAGAAAACTCAACAAGGTTACAGATGCGTCTAAACTTACATTCTCTAGCTCGGCAGGACGTGGGTTTCCCAGAAAGTGCCGATGAAAATAGCTCATGCGCTCCACAGAGAGCGGCTGCGTATGGCGCATTTCGTGCTGGGACTCGTACGGGCAGTCGGCCCTGAGCTCGCCCGTGGGTGTGAAGACGTGCAGGTCGCAGACGGGAACGCCCAGAAGCTGCAACACCAGTGGGATTCCCTCGTCGCGGCACATGTGAGCCACGACGGCTGCGAGGTGGCCGCCGGCCGAGGCTCCTCCGATGGCTACCCTGCACAGGTCGAGATTAAACTGTGCTGCCTTTTCATCTCGCACCTACAGGTGTGCCAGGTCACATGTCAGCCCCTGTCGCCTTTTTTTTTTTCCGGAGTTGGGAGTCCGGGAGTCGGATACGAAAGAGAAGGCTTTTGGAGGGGAGGATGTCACAACGAGAAATGATTAAAGAAAAAAGAAATCAAGGCAAAATGTGACAACTAACCCATTTGAGAGCCGTCCAGCAGTCGTCCACCGGAATGGGGAATTTGAACTCTGGGGCCAAACGATAATCAACATCAAAAGCTACGCAGCCCGTCTCGAGCGCCAGTCTCTTGCAAAAGTCTTCATCGTTGCCAAGGTTACCAAAGACCCAACCGCCGCCGTGAAAGTTGATGTAGACGGGCCGTGGGGGCGGCTGCTGCTGCTGCTCATCATACTGCGGCGGAGGCGGCGGCGGCTGGAATATGCGGACGGCAATGTCGCCCCCTTCCACGGGGCATTTTTCCTCGGTGATTGTGAGATGGCCGGGATCCACTATCTCCCTCCCGTATGCGATGGTATACCGCAGCGGGTCCCGGCGGTACTCCTCTATAGGGACCTGATGCGAGGCTAGCCGACCGGCGTTGTACCGGTTGTAGTACTCTAGGAACACGGGGTCAAACCGCGCGGCGAGCTCTGGTGGGATGCTATTGATCATGGGCTGTTCGATAGTGATGGATGGTTCAGAAGACGTGGCAGGCGGCGGCATCGCTGCGATGAGTGATGATTTGGTTGCAAGCGATTGCAACGAACGCTGTTCTTGAACGTAGAGTTTATTGGCAAGAGTGCGAGATGAGAAATCCTCATAGAATATATATATATATATATATATATATATATCCAAATATCCATCCAAGAATGGTCAAGATCCTAATTGGTATCACGAGATGCCTTATTTGCTTTCTGGACCGACGCCATTCGAGGCGCGGATTTTCGGATGCAACCGGTGTCGGCGGCCTGTCCCCAATGTATAGGCGTCCCACCGACCCGGTCGCACGAAGAATGCCAAGCAAGGATCCTGGCCACCGATAAAATCCCTATTGCAGACATCCGGCATTAGTTCTTTTGTCGAACTTTTTTTTTTTTTTTTTTTTTTTCCATTTCTTTCGTAGACATCTCTTGACTTACGTATTGTGGGATGTCGATACTCTTGATTGGTCCAAAATACCCCTGATCATGATTTCTTCAACGGTATTTTTGATTTTATCCCTTTTTCCTCTGTTCTTCTTGCCACAAAAGCAGAAAACTAGAGTTTGATGTGGGTTTCTTCTTTGTCCCTCCTCGATGAGACGATGAGGCGAGTTTGCTATTGTTTAGCACAGCGGTGAGGGTTTGTTATCTCGCAAGCGCAAGAGAAAAATAAAATGACCAATTCTCTCTTTTTTCTTTCTTTCCGCTCTCTCTCTCTCTCTTGCCCCTCCATCATGGGCAATGATGCCAAGAAACCTTTTGTCAAAGGTAGCGGCGACGTCACCAGGGGTTGTGGAAGCCAGAAGAAGAAGTGTCAAAATTATCTTTGACGGGATTTCTTTTTTTTTTTTTTTAAATTTCTTTCTTCTCTTGTGTCATTGACGCGACAAGTAATTTGTCCACGTGGCTTCCTCTTCTTCGTGAAATGATTGCTTCTACATTTGAACATGGCTCGTCATTCGGGGGGGTATCGACATTGCTTTTCTTGGCTCTAGATCGCACCAGGAGATGGGGGCGCCGTTGACAGTCGTGAAAGGTGCACAACCCCTTGGAGGGCGATGCAATCAATACTCGCTCCCATATTCAAACAGCCGCGGTGAGAATGGAAAGGCAGCGGGTTCTCCACTGTGTCTGACAAAAGTCTTCGTCTCACGAGACGTCAAGCTGTGGTAGGATGGAGTCTTGCCTTGTGTGATGCAGTCACACGACACTATGATTGTCAGACAGACGTACGATATTTCGGCCCCCGTCTTTTCAAAGAAAGAAAGATTTAGGGTTCTTATCCGGCGGAAGCGACGTTGCTCCGAAAACAAAGTCGCTCTCTACCATTCATGCAGCCAGCCCGTGGAGCTTATCAGCCATATTGAGAGGATGGTATTGGGCTGGGCAAATCCTTCCTCCTGACCAGCCCCCGAGCAATGTTTTGCCCCTCGGGAAACGAGTGCCATTCCTCCCAGTCGAGAAGCCAGCGGTGGATGACCCTGATAACTAGCACTAGACAAACTGCGGATGAGTGTCTAGTCCATGTGGCTTAGTGCTTTATGAGATGTGACCGAGCGACCAGAGGGGGCAATCATTAGAATACGACGTAAAAGACCTGCTGAAGAAAGAAGGAGAATAGGGATCGACGGAGTGTTGGTGACCATCCCTGCGTGAAAATTGCCCGAATCCTGCCGGCAAGCTAATCTTCGCCTTGCTACCGGAAACGGCGTGAGTGAGCTTCCCGAACTGTCTGCATATCTCTCGGTCAAGGTGTGTGTGTGTGTGTGTGTGTGTGTGTGTGTGTGTTCCACCCGGCCACTCGGTGAGGCTCCCGTTGGGCGCAAGGATCAGAACCATGAACCAAGAGAAATAAAGAGTTCACCTATTTGACATTTGGGAGCGGAAATTCCCTATTTTAGCCTAATTTCTCCTCGAGAGACACTGTTTTACGCAGGTCTTATGCTATCTTATGCTGTTTTATATAATCTTATACTATTTTATTCTTGCGGAACACTATTTCTCGAGGAACGTGCATTGCAAATAATAGCACTCGTATATAATATAGGCATAGGTATTATATTAAAGCAAGCTTTAAATTATAAAATTCTAAAGATTTTTAAAAAATATTAAATTATACGGGATATAATCCGTGCGTTATCTACTATATATATGCTAATTAGGGTTATTTATAATTGCGTAAATACGTATAAAAAAAGCAAAATCCTTTTTTATCCTATTTATCGCAGGTTCCATTTTTTAACGTCCGCCTAAATAAATATCACCTGCTTAACTTCAGCCAGCTTAATTAAAATATTATTTTTCTAATTACGCCGGCTTAGCTTTATTTATAATTTTTTATAGCTCTTTTATAATTCCGCCGTCCGGCGGATCTCGATCAGCTTATCGCTATCGCTACGATTTTTATATTTCCGGACGATATGCCCCTATAGCGCGGCGACACTTTCGAACCCCTTAATGCAAAAATAAAGGTTATATGCCAAGCTCGGCTTATGCGCCTTCTTTTTTATCTAAGTTACCGCGGCCCGATCGAGCGCGTCGAACCGAATACTATATCCCTAGCCGAACGTAAAAGGAAACCGGTACTTTAAACTATTATATAAATAAAATCTCGGGCGTATTAGCGCTGGCGATAACGATAACGATGGCGATAGCGTCCCTAAAAATTATCGCAATACCCACATTTGGAGGAGACACCTCTCGTATATAGTCAAAGCTACATACTGCGGCAAATTAGCGTACTCCCAAAATATACCAGCCTATCCTTACCTGCATTAAATAAAACGGATCGTATTAATCACAGCGGTCCGGAATAATATAATTCTCGTTTTTTAAAAAGCGCGCCCGCTAAAAGCACTCGTTACGCGCCTGGTTTACGGTAGCAGGCTTATATACGATATAAAAAAATATAATACAAAATAAATTATAATATAAATAAAAGCCGTTTATACGTTTAAAAAGGCCGCATTTTATAAAATTATTAAGCTCGATGCCGCTATAAAGCCATTTACCATACTAAATAATAGCTTTAGCCGCTATAATCGTATAATCCGAATATTTAAATATCTAAATACGTTAGCAAGCCGCCCGTAATAAAGCTATATATAATTATATACTAATTTACCTAAGCTTATTAACGGCTAATTATTTTCGTTAAGTATATCGGCAATTTTGTATAATTATAAGCCGACCTAATCCTATAAGCAGCTAATATAAATGCTAAATTAGCTAATAAACGGTAATACTCCTTAAGCCGTAATTAAGCCCGTAATCTATAAATCGAAATGCTCTTTGCCTTTCTAAAAAATCCAGCACACTGCTTTTTACTATACCTAAAATACTTTAAACTGCTTTATATCGTAATTTAGCATATTTTTTTAATAGCGCTCGCGGAAAATCCTACGCTATTACTCCTAGCGGTCGTCTTTTTATAAAAAATAAACGGTTAATAATAAAGCCATTAATAATAAAAAGGGCAATATTAAAAAAGGGCCAGCATCTGGCTTAAGGCACTTTAGGGGAGTTTTCGCGCTACGATCGGCCTTTAGCAAAGCTGCAATTTCCGGAAGCTATATTGCAAAAGCCGGCACGTTATTTAAAGCTAGCAAATTGTTTAAAGCCGGTAATAAATATAAAATAATAATTTATTATAAAATTTAAAAAGCTAGCGATAAAATAGCGAGCGGTATAATAATAAAAATCGGTTAATTTAATTAGTGCTATTTTTTTAAGTATCTTTTAAGGTTTTATCGTATTTTAAATATTACGCCGTATAGCCTTTTATTAGCGTAACGCTTATAGCATTGGTATTAGCGCGGATTTTTATTTATTATGCTCGCTAGATTATTTATAATTTTAAAGCGCAAAAAAAAACTAAAAATTTTATAAAAACGAGTAGCTTAAATCTTATCGTCGCCTAAGGTAAACCGTTAAATAAAAACTATCGTTTTATAGCAAGCATTAATACTTATTTTAGCACCCTAAATAAAGAGGTTTTGCTTATAAATAAAATATATTTTAATTATTTAAATATATACGGATACTTAAGCGCAAAAATCGATATAAGCGACCAAACGCGATTTTAATTCCTTTATAATATTAGGAATAAATATTTAAATTTGTGATACAGTTAGAGGAGCATGTAAAGTAGGTTTAAGAGAGTCACAATATTAAAATAAGCTAAAAGCGTTAAAAGGTATAGGTATAATTATAAAGTGTATTATATCTGTCTAAGTTCTAATTAAAGAAGGAGTATATAGTCCTATTTATATATTTATTTATTAGAAAGATTTGTCAACTTCCCTAAAGCGTACGGATTTTATCCGTAAGCTTTTTGCTTTTAATAAAGACATTTATATATTTTTTATATCTGGTATTTTAAGGACCCTTAAGGTTTAATTAACTATTATATACCCTTTAAGCTTTTAAGGCGTCCCTTAAAAGCTTAATAAAGATATATTAGTTAGATAGCCTTTTAAAATCCTTGTTTTTAGATTGGATTAAGCATAAGGATAGAGATCCCAAGCTTTTTTAAATACTTATCCCGTATCCTCCTTAGGGTTTACCTTATTTTTGCCGTTTTTGTTTTAAGGGTTGAATTTAGTTGTTAAGTTACCGGTTAATAATAGGTTTTTTTAGCGATAGTTACCTTTGCCTGCTGCATATAAACCCGGATTAAGAGAGCTCTTTTTATATCTTTACCCCTTATCTAAGTATTTTTTTTGCAAAAATTCCCTTATTTATAGATCTTTTCCTAAAAACAACCTTTTTATACGCTATTTATTTGGAGATTTTTATTTTTCCCCCTTTTTTTTATTAATATCTATTTTTAGCATTTAGTAATTAGGTTTAGATAAGTTCCAGATTTTTTTTTATTTAATTATATTTGCCCTTAACTTTTTACGCTCCCTAAACTTTTCTAGTGCAGGTTTGCTTAGCTAGAGTTTTCTTTTTTTTTTATTACGTTTGCACCTTTTTAAATTAGTGCTTTAAGCTTTTTTTTTTTTCGTAATAATTAAA